TCATCCCCACTCATCCCCCATTTCTCGTTTCCACCACGGTGACGTCCTGTTGCTGCTGCTCTGGAGACGTGATGCACAGACTGAGAGTTTGGATTAGACAGTCGTCTGTCCTGAACCAAAGTCCAAAAAGAAAACCAGTCATTTAACACACCATTTTTCTGGTGCTACATTTTCTGGTTCTGTGGAGTCTCCTCTGGTTCTGTGGAGGCTCCTCTGGTTCTGTGGAGTCTCCTCTGGTTCCTGGGTTCTGTGGAGTCTCCTCTGGTTCTGTGGAGTCTCCTCTGGTTCTGTGGAGTCTCCTCTGGTTCTGTGGAGTCTCCTCTGGTTCTGTGGAGTCTCCTCTGGTTCTGTGGAGGCTCCTCTGGTTCTGTGAAGTCTCCCCTGGTTCTGTGGAGTCTCCTCTGGTCATTTTCTGTGGGAGCAGCTGGTCCTGGTCTTCATATTCATGTCTCAGAACTTGAGCCTGATCCACTTCTTGTTCTCCAGATGGTGAAGTGATCCATATTCACTCTGGACCAAAGACAAACACGTCATGGTGAGAAGTTCCTCCTGAACCAGAGGTCACGTTACACCAGTAACTGGGACCAGAATCCCAGCTCATTTCAGGACCAGTGAGGAGAAGAGTTCTGACCCGAACCAAAGGAACCCAGAACCCTGGTCAGAGGTTTGGACCTGAACCCAGACCATCAGGGACCATCAGACGAGGACCCCGTCCTCATCCTCTGCTCCTCCTTCCACACAGTTCCCCGCTCCTCCTGACTGCCCAAAGGAGGCGCTGTTGTCATAGCAACCATCTCTGGAGGGGCTCACAGCATCTGTCAGCTTTATTAAATCAGTGGGATTAGAACGGAGTGAAGGTCGCGCTGAGAGCGCCCCCTGCTGCTGGAGTGAGGAGGAGCTTCACCAAGGTCCAAGTCCCAGTCCGGACCAGCCTCTCAGGGGCTTCAGGGACCCTTTGACCCTTTGACCCTTTGACCCCCACCACGGGGGCCGTTTTTACCCCAGTGTTGGAGTGGCTGCAGCGTCGTGGTTGTCGTCGGTTGTCATGGTTGTCATGGTTGTCATGGTTGTCATGGTTGTCGTCGGGTTGCGTCGGTTGGTGGCCGGGCTGGACACAGACCCTGATGTGGTTCATTGTTCTCAACAGCCCTTGAAGGAGGAGCTGTTGAGTGTCAGCAGGGGGCGATGTCAACGACCTGTTGATGTAAATACCACTCACTGTAAACTGACAATAAAACAGACAACAATCAGTCATCACACAGTACACACACAGTACACACAGTACACACAGTACACACA